AAGCTTTGTTCCTGCATCTCCACCCCTGTGGCTTTATTTCCCTGAGCACAATCCCTTTCCGCTCCGTCCATGTTGCCGCAGATGGCCTGAGTTCATCTTGCTCTGGTGGCTGACCAGTACTCTGCTGTGTATATAGACCACATCTTCTTGAGCTGGTCATGTATTTTTAGACATTTGGGTTGTTTCCATATTGTAGCTATTGTAAAGAGTGCTGCAAAAACATGGGAGTGCGGGTATCCTTTTGAATTAAGGTTTTGTGTTCTTTGGGTAGTCTTAGGTATAGAATTGCTGTGTCATGTGGTACCTACATTTTTATTGTTATATTTTGAAGATAATTCAGTTTTATTTTTCTGCAGCTCACACTCCCACCTTCCTATTATTATGTCTTTAGGTTCCAGTGCTGTTATCTTATGTGTTACTTCTATTGTATTTTGTTAGAGGGTTCTACTTAGGTTAGAATATGATTTAGTTGTGTGACCCATCAGAGGGTCTAGTTTCTGACTGGTTCTAATGGTCTACATTGCTATTTTCTTCTTCCTTCTCTATGTTAAGTAAGTTCAATGTCTTTTGCCTTGATTTTTCATTCTGTTGTTTCCTAATAGCCCTGTTAGTATTTCTTTTATAGACAGATTAGTATTGGTAAACTCTTTTTTTGTTTTTCAGTGAAGCTCTTTATTCTTCTATTTTGATTGCTAATTTTGTTAGAAAGAGGGTTCTGGGCAAAAAGTCTTTTTCTTTAAGTACCTTTCCAGACCCTTTATGCTTGTGATGTTTCTGTTGAAAGTCTGATCGTGTGATTGATGTTCCCTTTTAAGTTATCCTTTCCTCATATTTTTAGTGTTCTGTTCTTATTGTTGGTTCTCAATAGCTTTATTATTATGTTTCTTGGTTTATGTCTATCTGGTATAACTTTAGCTTGAACTCTGCAGGTCTCTTGGATCACGACTTTCGGTTCATTTTCCAGAGTGAGATCATTTTCAGTGATTATTTCTTAAAATAAGTTTCCTGTTCTTTTCTCTGTTTCCTTCTCCTTCTGGGATCCCATAATATGAGTGTTACTGTTTTTATAGTTGTCCCAGAGAGCCCTTATACTGTTTTAATTTTTTAAATTCTTTTCTGTCTACCTTGTTCCACTCTTGTGTCCTCTGTATTGTGCTTTCAAATTCATTATTTCTCTCCATTGCTTCTGTTTGTCTGCTATTAAAGCCCTTAGTTATAGTTTTAAAATCAGCTATAGTGCTTCTGAACTCCATTATTTCTGAATGTAGCTGCAGCATATTTTCATTACCCTGGTTGTTTTCTATCCTCTATTGTTTTCTTTTTTAAGTTCCAATAGCATTGCCAGGATTGTAGCCCTGAATTCCCCTTCTGCCATGCTCTACAACTTCAGAGTCAGGGATTTTTGTTCTGATATTTGTATTGTGTTCTGTCTCATTTTCTATTTTGTATGTGTTTTAGTGAGGATAAATTTTCAATTGATGTCTTTGTAGTTGTTGGGATAGCAGGGGGTTGGTACCAGTGAGGGATTTAAAAGAGGACTTGGGCAATAGGCATCAAAGGGTCACCTCCAGTAGACTCAGGAGTTTGAAATTCCTGCTGTAAAGTGTCTCTTTGTGGGAGGTGGCAACTGCTTTAGATATCTCAGTCTTGGGTGGGGCTCATAATTGTTGCGATGGGGAATGGTGTCTCAGCCTGGCCTTCAGTAGTGGTCTCTTCTAAAAGGAAGTCCAAGTGCTCAGATCTGATTCAGCTGTGGCTGTTTGCAAGCCAGTAGTTCCCACTCTGACCTCACTTCTGTAGTGCTCCTGCAATGCACCCTCTTTCCTGGGTGCCTGCTTGTGCGCCCCTTCACCCAGTATAGTGCAGGGTCTTAGGAACCCCATTGTTGGTGTGTGCCCAAGTCAATAGTTGTTGGGGGGACCTGAATTGTAGTCACCCCTCCCTTTCACGTGCTGCACTGCCACATACAGCTTTAAGCAACGGTTACTTGGAGCGTTTCCTACTCCTTTTACTCTGGCTGATGCGCCTGTTGTGTACTCTGGTAGTTTTTCCCTTGGGGGTTTTGGCTTCATTTTGTATCAGTTTTGTTGTGCTGTCTGGAGGAAGGGATCCCAATGTCTTTACTCTGCTGCCATCTTGCAGGATTCCCCATCTCCTTGTGTCAAAGACCCTTCAGAAATTGGAATGTAAGACCAAGGAAAGTAAAATAATGAAGTGTCTCCGTTGTACTAGCCCATGAGCAGTATTTGCGTTTGTGATCCTGAAGCAAATATTCAGCATCATGTGGGTCTTAGGTATAGTTTGTGACGCTAAACTTATTTGGAACGCGGTAATAAGCATGTGGTATATAGACATCACATTTATCTGCTGTACCTTACTTTGACCATTCAGGGTAAGTCCTCAAAGTACTTTTAAGATTTATGGTAATAAGTGGGCAGAGAGTCTGCAATGCGTTCTGTAGTTTTCTGTGCTGCATTTAAAGCAATGCGCATTTGTTAGAAGCTCCATGGGGCAGGAGTCCGAGCCTGACTTAGCTTCATCCTCTCCCTAGGGTCTTACAAGTCTATCTGGGTGTCACCCAGGGCTCAGTTCTCTTCTGGAGCTTTGAGTGCTGATAGATTTTGCTTTTTGAGCTGACTTCGGTGTTGTTGGCAGATTTCATTACCTTGTACCAATAAGACTAAGGGTCGAGCTTCTTGCTAGTAGTCACCAGAGGCCAGTCTCTGCTCCAGGAGGACACATGCAGCCAGATATTCGGACAACACAACAGCTTGTTTCTCCCAAGTCACCAAAGAAGAGTCTGCCATGATGTAACATAATCATGGCAGTGACACTGTCACCTTTGCCATAGTCTACTGACTGGAAGTAAGTCACAGTTTCCTGTGACTCACTGTGATCTCACAAAGCTGCAAACACCAGGCAGCCGGGATCGCTGGGAACCCCCTTCAGGTCCCTCCACCATGGTTGTAGGATGGTACTGTGTCTTTACTTCTGATCAGTGCCAAACTGCAGTTGCCCAGGCCCGTGGTTCCTAATATAGACACCCCGGAGAGTCTTCAGATTTCTTGCAAGAATATCCAACAGATGAAAATAAATAGCAACAGATAGAAACCAACATACAAGCTAACTTTAGAAAGCCACACACTATTTTAAAAAAATTTATGGAGAATTTTGGCTCTCCCTGCTGGTGCAACGGGTTAAAGCACCGCGCTATGAAGGTCTCCGAAGCCACTGCAGCACGAGTTTGATCCCCGGCCAGGGAGGTGACCCACGCGGCGCAGCAGACCTCTTCTGACCCGCCCGCTTCTCCCCTCAGCAGTGTACTTTGTCCATCTGCCTGTTCTGCTCCCCACTCTGTCTCTGGTGAATCCTCCCACCCATCACCCCTCTGGCCTGTGCCCCAGTTCTATAAGCATAAATAAATAAATCTTTTAAAAAATTTATGGAGAATTTTAAGGATAGACCAAAGTAGAACAATACAGTGAACATTCATGTATGTATCTGTCACCCATACTTGATCAGTGCCAAATCACAACCTGTTTTGACCTGTCTACTTCCCCCTGTTGAATTATTTAAGACAAAATCTCAGATTTCCTGCCTTGTTATCTATAGTTGTTTCTGTATATAAGCCAAAAAAATCAGAAACTTTATTTTTAAAAACATAACTATTATACTATTATCTCACAGAAAAATTATTTTTTAGTAATTTCAAATGTCTAGTGCTCCAATTTCCAATTATCTTTTATCATCATTTATTTATATTTCGAAGACAGGTTCATTTAGATTTAGTATCCATATATTACAATATGTTAAAAGCCCTCTAAAAAAATCTCTTAATTTTCAGATCCCTCCTCTATATAGCTTTTGTTTTTTTTTTGCTTAAAATTTATTCGTTGAAACCATCAGGTTCTTTTTTCTTTTTTGGTTTCCTAGTTTGGAAATTGCTGACACAGTTCAATTTGTTAAAGTGAGCTTATTGCAAAATCAACTCCACAAATACTCTTCAAAGATTCACTAAGTGGCCTTTTTCTCAGTAATTATGTCATCTTTCTTTACTTTTCTTTCCTCCTTGTTTCCTGGATTCATTTATGTGGATCACCTCTGAATCAATAAGAGAAAGTTCTGCTAAATTGCCATCTGCTTTCCCCTGGGGTTGATATCTTAAAACAAATTTTCTTCAATTGAATTCAAATTGAATAAGAGTATTGAAACCAAAGATCCCTCATTAGACAGTTTGTTATTTCAAAGCATTTTCTATTTACTGTGCCTTATTTAGAATACAGTGTAATCCTGTGAAGGCAATTCTGTTTGTTCAGAATGATATGTAATTGGGAATAATTGCCATTCCCTATCTGACATAAAGTCTCTCAAGCTTTTTTATTAGAGAAATTTAATTTATTAGGAATATTGTACCATCTGAATCTATGAATGTAACATTCCTTTTTCTTTATATTGCAAATTGGTGACATTGTACTGCATCAAGAACTGATCACAAGTTTAAATCTAAATCTTTATGATCACTTAACAAAAGTTTTCCTTGATTTCTTTTACCTTTTTTAAAGATTTCTTTATTTATGCATACAGAACTGGGGTACAGGCCAGAGGTGCAGGGGCAGTGAGAAGCTTCACTCCTTCACAGAGTGGGGAGCAGAACAGGCAGACTGACGAAGTACGCTGCTGAGGGGAGCAGCGGGCGGGTCAGGAGAGGCGGGGATTGAACTCATGCTGCAGTGGCTTTAGCTTCTTAGTGCTGTGCTTTAAACCCACTGTGCCACCAGGGAGGGCCCACGGTCTTGATTTTTGTTAACTTATCCTCTGCTCTGATGTCCTTAGAAGAACACTCGGCAGTTATTTTCATGCACCAATGTGAAACTGAAGGTGGTATGTACACACTGTTTTTCCCAGGGGCCCTTCCTCACTGTGCCCCACTGCTGGGAGCATCCGGGTTCCGGGACTCCTGATTCTGCCATTCTGATGATATTGTTTTCTTTCTTCCACAGTTGACAGGCCAGTCAGAGTCTATGCTGATGGGATCTTTGACCTGTTCCACTCAGGTCATGCAAGGGCTCTTATGCAAGCAAAGACGCTGTTTCCCAACAGCTACTTGTTGGTAGGAGGTAAGAAGTGCATTTTCTCTTTGTCTAGAACAACTCCTTTGTAGTGTACTTTCTGAGGTCCGTCACTAAATTCTCACATTGTTACTGCTCCTTGTTCCTCCCATGCTGGTTCACTTGCTCACTGCCTGAAATAGAAAATGTTTAAAAAAAAATACACAGGGGAAATGACATCACGAGATTATATACTGCTGGCCCTCAGAAAGACAGGACCAGCACTAGCACTATTAATACGATTACTAATCCCACTGAGACTGCCACTAATGTAGCACCACAGGTAGGTTCTTCTTGGTTTCCATGAAAGACATGTTCTAGAGGCTTAGGTCAAGAGCAATGTTGCCCTGATTGCAGATCTCGGACAGTTAAAAGGTTCAGGACAATTAAGGGTAAACAGGGTCTTGGTTTCCTTTGTGAGACACCCCAACACTTGGAATAATGTTGTGCCACCCATAGTGGCTTCTGCCAGCCCTTGGTTGTGCAATTTATGCACAGTGTGCATTTAATGACTGTTTCTTGGGCACTCACTCACTGTGTATCAGGTGTTCTTCTGTACATTGGGGATGCCGCCACGGACAAGACATGTCCTCAGAGAACCTGGGTTGAGGAGTGGGCGGGCCCTGCCCTCTTATCCAGTCAGTGTGTACTGAGGAAGACATAAAATAGCGTAAGCAAAGGAGTGACTGGGCAGGGACAGAGGGCTAGTTGAGGTAGGCAGGTCAGGGGAGCCCCCTTCAGATGTGTTGCCATCTGTGTCCAGACTTGAATGAGGCAAGGGCGCGCCAAAGCCAGAACACAGAACCTTCCTTGTACAGTGATCTGGTAATTTTGGGAAAGTAGAGAAGACCATGTGGTCACAGCAATGTTGTTTTACTGATTTGTACATCTTCCAGAGGTTTCCATAAATGCATAGAGGATTCAGTACTGCAAAAAACTAATCTGGACAGGAGTTCAGAATCAAAAAATTACAGCAGGAGTGAAGGAGGAAAATTCCAAGAAATCGGGAACTCTTTAGCAGTCATGGCAATGGGGGCCACAGAGTTACTCCACGCCCCTCGCATGTCAGAGCAGATTCTGTTCCATTGGGAAGAACTCGTTGTTTTTCTGCCCTCAGTTCTGAGATAAGTGTTTGGAGGGCTGCTGCGGTAGGCAGCCAAGACGCCGTCTTTGGCCGCAGATTTACAAAGAAATGCAGATACCTCTCGGCTCTTACATGGGTTCTCTGTGGAAACCAAGGGCATGTGGGACTACTGAGACTGCCATGGAGACCAGATGGCTTTGCTGGGTGGCAGTGACTAGAGTATAGGTGGGAAATAAAGCAGTTCCACGTGAGCCAATAAGGAAGCGGCACGTAGATGTCCGGGGACCATCAGTGACTGTAAGTGAAGTATCATGAGCGACATAAACAATTTCAATGGTATTTTCTCTGCTGATTTCTTATTCTTATTTTCCTAGTTAAAATAATTACATGGCTATGCTATGAAATGCATTTTAACCACCCTCCTAGTAGAATTCAGTGCGATCCTGTTTTTCATGTTTCCACTGAGTTAATTATATTTGACTCTCAGGCTGTGAAACAGACTCTAGCCTTTTGTGTGCAGGCGAACCGCTACGGGGGCATGGTGTTGCATTCAGGCCCTACAAGTGACACTGCTGTGATCAACACATTTTGGTAGAAATCAAGAAGACAAAGTATAACCTCCCGTTAATGCCTAGAGTGGTTGCCTTCCTCTAAAAGTCAGCATCTACCGCAGCTTTTCCAGAAGTACTTAGTGATTCTATGTGAAACAAAGTTGGTCTCAGACATAAGTAATTTAAAATAAATTTGTAGGTACATTCAGAAACCTTGCAGGATTTGGGAAAATTCTCACACTGCAAGATGGTTAATCTCATTGGCACTCTGCCCACGGACTGCCAATAGCTGCCTCCAATCGTGGTGGCAAGTAAAGATGCCCCACAAATTTCCAAAAATGCTTTCTAGGGGGAGGCGAAACCCTTATTAAAAACTATTGTGTTAGACTAGGAGACTGTGGTTATAGTAGTGGATTTCTCTATTTCTCTATTTCTCCTTGCAGGCCTACCAGTTTTGCTTCATATATTTGAGTGTTGTTGGGCATGCACATTAAGGAGTTTGATTTTTTAAAATATTGACCCCTTTATCATTATGTACTGTTCCTCTTTATCCTTGATAACTTTCTTTGCTCTGAAGTCTGCTCTGTCTGAAATCAATTTCGTTATTCCCACTTTCTCTTGATTAGTATTAGTATGCTGTGTCTTTTTCATCCTTTTATTTTATTTGTTTAAAGATTTACTCATTTATGCATACAAGAACTGGGGTATAGGCCAGAGGTGCAGGGGGTGTGAGAATGTTCACCAGAGACAGAGTGGGGAGCAGAATAGGCTGACTGATCGGTTAGACAGGAGAGGTCTGCCGTGCAATCTGGGTCACTCCCTGGCCGGGAATCGAGCACGTGCTGCAGTGGCTGTGGACAGCTTCATAGTGTTGTGCTTTAACCCGTTGTGCCACCAGGGAGGGCCCTTTCATCCTTTCATTTTTAATTAATGTATGTCTTTTTATTGCCAGTGGTTTTATGTTGTTGACAACGGAGTGGGTTTTTGTGTTTTGCTTCACTTCGACAATCCTGTTGTGGACCTGGTGAATTTAGAACATTAGTGATTATTAATATAGTTGGTTTAATATCTACCATATTTTTCCTGCTTTCTATTTGTTCCTTTGTTCATTGTACTACTTTTGTCTTCTATACTTTTTCTGCCCGCATTGGTTTTAATTGTGCATTTTATATGATTTTCTCTTCTTTCTTAGCATATCGAATACACTTTTTCCTTTTATATATATTTTTTACATCATTCCGCATTTTTGTACAATGCGTGCTTTCTCATCCTGGTTATAGCGTCCATGAAATTCCCACCACCAGTTCCCCCGAGCACCATCACCATGGTCCCTTGTGCTCTTCCCACCCCTGTTTTGATCCTTTTCCTTCCCCGCCATCCCTACAGAGTGTCTCTGGCGTATAGTTGCCTGTTAATTTTGATTTTTTTCCTTTACTATTACTGCCCCCCCCCATCCCTCATTTGGATCCTCTACATTCCTCCTACAAGTGAAACCATCCGGGATTTTTTGTTTTCTTTCTGGCTTATTTCACTGAGCATGATCCCTTTCAGCTCCATCCACATATCTGCGAATGGCATGAGCTTATCTTTTATTATTACTATTATTATTGCTGAGTAATAGTCTGTTGTGTGAATATACCACATTCAGTCGATCCAGTCATCTATTTTTGGGCATTTGGGCATAGCTGACCTGTGGTCCATAGTGCTGCAGCAAACATAAGGGTGCAGGTGTCCTTTTGGATCTATTTTTTGTGCCTTTTGGGTAGATTCCTAGAAGTGGGATTGCTGGGTCATAGGGAAGCTCCATGTTTAGCAGTTTGAGGAAACTCCAAACAGTTTTCCATAGCGGTTGGACCAATTTGTGTTTCCACGAGCAGTGTAGGAGAGTTTATTTTCCACATCCTCACCAACATTTGTTGTTGCTAGTTTTTTTTTTTTATGTGTGTCATTCTTACTGGTATAAGGTGGTAGCTCATTGTAGATTTGATTTACATTTCCCTGATTATGAGTGATATTGAACATTGTTTTTGTGCCTGTTGGCTCTTTGCATTTCCTCCTTGGATAGTATCTTTTTAGCTCTTCTGCCCATTTGTTGATGGGTTGTTTACTTTCTTTTTGTTGAGTTTTGTCAGCTCTTTGTAGGACTGATCTTTGTGATCAGTCCCTTATCATTAGTATTGGGGTACACTTCTTTTTTCCTTTTGTGGTGGATGCCCTGGAATTTTCAATATACTTTCTAAACCAGGTACTGCACGTACTTCATAGTGAACAAAATATTCCTCATTCCTCCCTCCTCCTCCTCATTTCATTTCTGTCATTCCTTTCACTTACACATAAGCTTGCACCATTGAACACTTTGCTGCTGTTATTTTGGCCAAATTGCTGTTTGTAAAATTAATTAATGAGAATAGGTTTTTGTTTTATCTTCACTTACTCATTCTCTGAAAATCAACTCTTCTTTAAATTTCTGACCGCTATCATTTTCCTTCTCTATGAAGGACTTTTGTTTATCTCTAGGGAGCTTTAAAAAAATGTTTCTTGCATTACAGATCTCCTAGGAATAAATAATCTCCATTTTTGTTTGTCTGAGGAAGTCTATTTTTCCTTACCTTTAAGAGGATAATTTGCAAGATACAGAATTCTAGGTTGGTGGACTGTTTTCTCTATCACTGTATATATTTCACTCATTTCTCTTCTTGCTTACTTTGTCACTATGGGGAAAGCCAGTGTAACTTTTATCCGTACTTTTCTAGAGGTGAAGTTTACTTGTGGCTTCATTTGAGACTTTTGGGCATCTTTCTATTCTCTGGTAGTTAAATGAGATGAGTGGAATTATTTGTATCAGCAGGTGAATATATTGTTAGACTCAGACAGGCTTTAAAGTTGGTTTAATTTCGGTTTTTCCTTCTTGTAGATGTTAGTGCGGAAATATTTTGTTCACATACATATGTAGATGGAATGAAAGAAGTTTATTATAGTAACACCCCTCACTGAAATATAGAGTTACTTGTGAAGTATTGGAAAAATATTTTATTGTCATCAAAATAATTTTGATTGCCAAACGATAATTTATCAAGGGCTTTCTTTCAGATTCGTTTCAAGTAATAGATACATACTTATTTTCAAGTTATTGGAATAATTTGCTTTCCTCTTTCTGAGAAATGTAATAAAAAGGCTCTACCAAGATTTGTTGAACGACTTTTAATTATAATCCTTACTCTTTTACTTGAAAACAACTTTTCAACAGAGAACCTCCAGAAGGGTTGGAGTAAATGGAAATACTGGTAATTTCATCCTACAGTTGCCAGTTTAATAGTTTTTGATAAAATGGCTTTGTGATTTGCATTAAACTTTACAAAAACACTGGAGGAATG